TTGGGTAAGTGGGAAAAACCTGGAAAAATCCAGGAAAATCAGTTTATTTTCTTTTTTTCGACTTCTATTGTAACATTTTGGATATTCTAGCATGCATGGGGTGTGTTCTGTGTGTGAAGTCCAGCAAAGAAAGCGTAATGGAATAATAAAAAAAAAATAATAAAAAAATAAGATGGCTCGAGAAAGGTTGAAATTTCAAGACCCCCTATCTCCCTTTAATATCAAGGTATAATTTTCAAACTCGGACAATAAAGAGGGGTCTATGGTCCAAACAAGACTGCAGAAGATAATTTTTATAGGCCAATTAGGGGGGTCACAGAGGGCCCACAGAGGGCCCCTAAAGGTATATTGCGAAGATGAGAGGAGAGAGCTTTTGAATCGAAACTGTGGTAGGCTTCACGTTTCACCGTGAACTGGAAAGTAGGCCACCAGACAGGCAAGTTCGCTGCAGGAGGGAGAGGTCCTGGGTTCGGATCCCAGAGACGGTCAAATTTTCAAAAAAAAACTCTTTTTTTTTTTAAACTATATTATTTTTTTATGTGTTTCTCGATATTCTGGAGGTTCCTGCATGTAGGAAAAAATTTTTTTCATTGGGTAAATGGGAAAAAACAGGAAAAATCCAGGAAAATCAGTTTATTTGCTCTTTCTCCACTTCTATCGTAACATTTTGGATATTCTAGCATGCATGGCGCGTTTTCTGTGTGTGAAATCCAGCAAAGAAAGCGTAATGGAATAATAAATAAAAAAATAAAATGACTCGAGAAAAGTTCAAATTTCAAGATCTCCTAGTTCTCTTTAATATCAAGGTATAATTTTCAAACTCAGACCCTAAGAAGGGGTCTATGGTCCAAACAAGGCTGCTAAAAATAATTTTTATAGGCCAATTAGGGGGGTCACAGTGGGCCCTTAAAGGTATAATGCGAAGATGACATGACAGAGCTTTTGAAGCGAAAGTGTGGTAGGCTTCACGTATCACCGTGGAATGGAAGGTAGGCCACCAGATAAGCAAGATCGCTGCAGGACCTAGGGGTTCTGGGTTCGTATCCCCTGGACGGTCAAATTTTCAAAAAATTTTCTTTTTTTTTGGTTTATTTTAAATTATATTATTTGTTTTATGTGTTTTTCGATATTCTGGAGGTTACTGCAGGCAGGAAATTTTTTTTATTTATTGGAAAATGGGAAAAAACTGGAAAAATCCGGGAAAGGTAGTTGATTTGCTCTTTTTCGACTTCTATTGTAACATTTTAGATATTCTAGCACGCATGGGGTGTTTTGTGTGTATGAAGTCCAGCAACGAAAGCGTAATGGAATAATAAAAAAAAAGAATAAAAAAATAAAATGGCTCGAGGAAGGTTCAAATTTCAAGAGCCCCTAGCTCCCTTTAATATCAAGGTATAACTTTCAAACTCGGACAATAAATAGGGGTCTATGGTCTAAACAAGGCCGCTGAAGATAATTTTTATAGGCAAATTAAGGGGGTCACAGTGAGCCCCTAAAGGTATATTGCGAAGATGAGAGGTGAGAGCTTTTGAAGCGAAACTGTGGTAGGCTTCACGTTTCACCGTGGACTGGAAGGTAGGCCACCAGACAAGCAAGTTCGCTGCAGGAGGGAGAGGTCCTGGGTTTGAATTCCAAGGATGGTAAAATTTTCAAACAAAACTTTTCTTTTTGTTTATTTTAAATTATATTATATTTTTATGTGTTTTTCGATATTCTGGAGGTTCCTGCTTGTAGGAAAAATTTTTTTTATTGGGAAAATGGGAAAATTTGGAAAAATCCTGAAAAATCAGTTTAATTGCTCTTTTTCGACTTCTATTGTAACATTTTGGATATTCTAGCATGCATGGGGTGTTTTCTGTGTGTGAAGTCCAGCAAAGAAAGCGTAATGGAATAATAAAAAAAAGAATAAAAAAATAAGATGGCTCTAGAAAGGTTCAAATTTTAAGAACCCTTAGATCCCTTTAATATCAATGTATAATTTTCAAACTCGATACCTAAGTTGGGGTCTATGGTCCAAACAAGGCTGCTGAAGATAATTTTTATAGGCCAATTAGGGGGGTCACAGTTGGCCACTAAAGGTATATTGCGAAGATGAGAGGAGAGAGCTTTTGAAGCGAAACTGTGGTAGGCTTCACGTATCAACGTGGACTGGAAGGGAGGCCACCAGATTAGCAAGTTCGCTGCTGGGGGGAGGGGTATTGGGTTCGAATCCCAGGAACGACCAAATTTTCAAAAAATTTACTTTTTTTTGGTTTATTTTAAATTATATTATTTTTTTAAGTATTTTTCGATATTCTGGAGGTTCCTGCATGTAGGAAAAAAAATTTTATTGGGAAAATGCGAAAAAACTGGAAAAATCCAGGAAAATCAGTTTAATTGCGCTTTTTCGACTTCTATTGTAACATTTTGGATATTCTAGCATGCATGGATTGTTTTCTGGGTGTGAAGTCCAGCAAAGAAAGCGTAATGGAAAAATAAAGAAAAAAGAATAAAAAAATAAAATGTCTCGAGATAGGTTCAAATTTCAAGACCCCCTAGCTCCCTTTAATATCAAGGTATAATTTTCAAACTCGGACCCTAAGTAGGGGACTATGGTCCAAACAAGGCTGCTGAATATAATTTTTATAGGCCAATTAGGGGGGTCACAGTGGGCCACTAAAGGTATATTGCGAAGATGAGAGGCGAGAGCTTTTGAAGCGAAACTGTGGTAGGCTTCACGTATCACCGTGGACTAGAAGGAAGGCCACCAGACAAGCAAGTTCGCTGCAGGAGGGAGGGGTCCTGGGTTCGAATACCAGGGACGGTAAAATTTTCAAAAAAATATTTTTTTTGTTGTTTATTTTAAATTATATTATTTTTTTATGTGTTTTTCGATATTCTGGGGGGTCTTGCATGTAGGAAATAATTTTTGTTTATTGGAAAAATGGGAAAAAACTTTCAAAATCCGGGAAAATCAGTTTATTTGCTCTTTTTCGTAATATAATACTTTGCCCAATTAAAATATTATAGTTTAATAATAAAGGCAGATATCGTGCCGTTTGTTAACATTGAAAAGTGTCTTCGAATTTCCTTGTTTTAATGCACTATTTAAAATATACATAGTGTACCCCCTAATTCACCTATAATTATTTCC